ACAGCATGGGCTCCAGAGAACCCCCACAGGGACAGGGGAAGTTATTTTGCCTAGGCCCCATGGGGAAATGAGGTATCACATGCCTGCAGCTCCCCCCTCCCCACTTCTGCAGGGAGGGGATGCCTGGCCAGGGACCCAGGCGCCCAGACCTCGGGAGAGCCCGGTTCTCAGGCAATCACCCCCTTGACCCTGGGATCCCCCGGAGGTGGGCCAAATATTTGGACAGCCGGACGCCTGGCAGAGAAGAAAGCCAGGATTTGGGCTAGGGGTGCCCCGGAGGGTTTGTCCCCTTCCTAGACCCGGATGGGGCGGGGAACAAAGGCAGGAGGTCAAGGGGGCCTGTGAGGGAAGGGGGCAGGCCTCGGGTTGGGGGGGACAAAGGAGGCCTTCCAGGACGAGCATGAGCCAGAGAGCGACAAGCGAGCCAGGCTCAAACAGAAAAAAACAAACAGCCGCCACTGGATAGACTCACATAGGTTCCTCTTCGAGGCTAAGCAGCATTCCCACCACCCAACATTAATTAACCACCTAATTACAGCCTGAGCTAGGATGGGCTCCAAGACGCAGCATGGCCACAGGGGAAACAGCACCCAGTCACAAGCTCATGGGATCACAGATTTAGGCTGGAAAGGTCCCCTAGTTCAACCCCCTCATTTTTGAGATGAAGACCAGGCTTGAAATCCCAGCCCTGTTACTCCCCATCTCCATGACCTTGACCTTGGGGAAGTGGATTAGCCTCTTTGGGCATTAGTCCCCTTTTCCAGAAAACGAAGGAGCAGCCCCAAATGACCTCTCAGGCCTTTTCCAGTTCTAAATCACATGAACACAGCTCCCGCTCTGATCCCAGCCCCTTTTCTGGCCCTTAGTTTCTCTAACTTTAAATTGGGGATAATAACCCCCGTTCCACCCACTTTGTAGGCTACAAGAAATGAGTCACGCTGCCCAGATTAGGGGGAGGGGGCCTGATGGAGATCGTCATCACCATAACATCTGACATTAATATGCAAACAGCAGGACAGAAATGTGAAACCTGAGTTCCCAGAGATTCCTGGGGCTTGGGGGAACCAGGCTAGAGAGAAAAAAGAGCTGGTCCTGGTCCTTACCTAAGCTGGTGCTGGCAGCTGGTCGACCATTTGTCAAGGATGTTGTGGAAGGAATTCCTCCTTAAGAATGGGTTATTCTAGTTAATGCCAAAGATGCCTACTAACTTCTGTGAGTTTAGAGTTCCTTAGCCCTTCTCTCCTCTTGTCTCTCATCCCAAAGCCCAGAACACAGAGATGTTAGAAGCAGACAAGACCTTAGAATATAGACCAGAGAATGTCAGAAATGGAAGGGCGTTAAGGGACCTTATAATCCAATCTTTTTATTTCAGACAGGAAAGGGACTTGCTCAAGGTCACACAGTGAGTCAGCAGCTAAGCCGAAGCGAAAACCTAATCATCTGCCTCACAGGACTGGGCTTTCTCTGTTGCACCCTTACGGATTCTGCGGTCTGGCTTTCAAAGCCTCTCCATGAAGGGTACCTGAGGCCCCAACCCAGCCCCTTCATTCTTCTTTACCCCCAAATATAGATCCCAGATTCCAGGAAGGCAGACCTACTGCCCAGCCTCACTCAGGCCATTTCCCTCTGGGGTGGTTTTTCTCCTCCATAGCTGGATCCCTTTCCTGCATCTTCAAATATATTGAGTGACTGATTACCCACAGTAGGGCACAGGGAAATAAGTGTAAGTATATGTAGATCCTACAATATCCAGGTCCCCAGCTTTCTTTCCCAGCACAGCGAGGTGGACAGTAGTTCAAGACGGAGAAGCAGTCTGGTATATTAGAGAATCATGTATCTAGCTGGATCATCTAGTCTGACCTTCATTCTACAGTTAAGGAAATTGAGGCCCTCAGAGGGAAAGGGATTACAACTAGCAAGAAGGAGATTCAGGATCTGAACCCAGATCTCCAAGGTGTGGAGAAGTAACATTGCTCGATGGGAAAAACCCTGGATTTGGAGTCCAAACGCCCAGGGTTTGAATCCCAGCTCTGCCAAGGATACTATGTGACCCTAAGCAAGTCACTTCCCCTCTGGGCCTCAGTTTCCTCATCTGTAAAATGAGGAGGTTGAACTAGATGACCTCAAAGGTGCTTTCACCTCTAGATCTATGATCTCTGACATCAGGCCCAATGCTATTTCTACCTTAGCAAGCTCCCCTTCAGGTAGGAGCCATATGGGGGGGGGGCTCCTATCCCTTCTGCTTGGCCTCCTTTCCTCTTCTACCCTGGATGCTTGCCTCTTCTACCCCTAAAGTGTGGATCATCCAAAATAGCTGAGAAGCCTTGAGCTCCCCAAATGATTCACATCTGCTGACACTGACGTAATTTCCAGTTTTATCCCAGCTTCCCTGAGGTTGTCACCTCTACCTTCTGTCTCTTGTGCTTTTCCTCACCTCTCATTGTCCCTGACCTGGATTCTGGGTATGGAAGCTGGGAGACTCTGTCCAGCCTTCAATCCCTCACTCAAAAGTCACCTCCTCTGGGAAGCCTATCCCTACTGTTTCACCCCCACACCAGCCCAACTCGCCTTCATACTGAGTCCTCTTCTTGAGCTAAAACAGCAGAACACATTTTCCCTCAATCAGACACAGTTTTGTCTTGTTTTCTCACCATTCAGTATGTGGGGCTGACCTCCTTAGCCAAATTAAGAACTCCTCATGGACTGGGCCCAGGTTTGTCTCCTCTTTCTTCCCCAACCTGGGAACTTGACGAGACCAGGACCTCAGTCTGGGCCTCTGTCTCTCCCAGACTAGGAGGAGGCCTGGATCTATTCCTCCTCTGTTTCCCCTACTTCTTAGGCAAATACAGGTCTGAGCAAATGGAGGAGGGATGGAAGGGCTCCAGTATCAATGATTAATTCATCTGATCATATTCAATGAACATTTACTAAGTATCTGCTATGTGCAAAGCATTGATTTCTCAACTTTCAGTCTTCAAAGTTACTCCCATCCTAACTGAATGTAAGAAAGCAATGGGGACCTCTGGGGAAAGAGGATAGAAGTGTTCATAGTGATTCCAAAGCCAGGAGGTGGGGGAGACACCACTGATTCATTCACCAAACAGTTATTTACCACCTACTATATACAGAACACAATGCTGGCTACTAAAGATGGAAAGTTTGAATGAGATCTATTACTGATGAATTTCACTACCCAGCAAGGGAATAAAATACCACCAAAACATATATATCTACCATTACATACTAAGCCCATTAGAGGGCTGCAAACCAAAGTGCTTCGTGAAGTTTGGGGGCGAGGGAGGACTCTTAGGGGTCCAGGGTGGGGATCAAGGAAGACTTTCTCCATGGAAATACACATACCTGGAGTTTTGGCTCTATTAGATTGTCAGATCAGCCCCTCTACTCTGTGCCTGTAACAGGACTGGAAGTTCTTAAGGGAGAGAGGCAAGTGATGGATCTTTGGGGCAAACTCAAAACTTGGACTCTGAATGCCTGGGTCCTGGAGTAGATTCCTGCAATGTTTGGGAGGCTTGGGGGAACGGACAGGGAGTTGGATCTGGGAAAAACCCTCAAGTCTTTTCCTAGGCCCAGAACCAGGAGGGTGGTATTGGGGGTTCAGGGGCCTGGGTTGGGGGTCAGCGTGCAGGAGTACATTTTGCAGAAACAGGTCTGCACCTTTAGGACCAAAGAAGTCCTGCCCTGCTTGGATCCTGTTTCAACTCTTCACTTTAAAAACCCATCAACAACAACAACCACTACTACCACAACAAATCTGCTCCCTGGTGTATGCTCCTTTGGCACGCCCCCTGCCCTTAATGGAAGCCTCCTTCCCTTGCCCCAGAGCTAAGATCAGGCCAAGAGCTTGTGGGGTACAGGGGCCAAGAGGGCATGACTCAGAGGAGGCCCTGCTCCCCTGGATCCCAGGTGTAAACAAATGCACGCAGTACTCTCGACCAATACAAAGGGAGGTGGGTCGGACTCATGCAAATCTATCGCCCCGCCTACAAACCCCCTCCCCCTCCCCCTCCCCCACATGCTCCCAGACAGTAGGTTACATTGATAAAGTGGGAGACTCGGCGTTTGAGGAATGCGTGCTGCGCGCATGCAGGACCGCGTGCGCTCAGTGCCCAGGCCACAAGACCCTCTGCAAATAGCCTAGCGTGAAGCACACTGTGTGCCCAAAAAGCCCCGGGGGTCAGACGCTGTATAAATATATCCTTCCGCCTCTGCCCTCACCGGCTGGGCAGGCCTCTGGGCGCAGGCCCCAGCCCGATGGAGCACCCCCAAAACCCGGCTCCTGTCCAATCCCGTCGGGCAGTCAGTTCCTTCTTTCCAGGCTCAGGCATGGGGACGCGTCTCCCCGCACGTCCAGCTAGAGCCCCCTGGACAACGCGCTGTTGTCTGGTCAGGGGGGCGTGCTCACACCGAGGCACTGAAACACACTGCACACTCTCATTGACTTATACGGAAACATAGACACACTCCTACACAGACGAACACGGACGCACAGCCACACATTCATCCACACAGGCACACGCACTCAGACACGCGGGGACACAGACACACTCACACAGACGCAGATTCCCACACTGTCGCCCCGGGTCGTGTCCAGCCCCTTTCTATCCTGTCCATTTCTTTCGAGCCTCCCCAGACCCGGAGCTCTAACAGGGGGTCAGGACTGTCGCTTTGACTAGGGAGGAGGAGCCGGGGCTGGCCCTCCTTGGAGTCCCCAGGGACTGGGAGTGGGGGAGGCGAGGACACATCGAAAGTTGAAGGAATGGAATTAAGCATTTAGGGAAATGGGGGGGGGGGGGGGGGGGCCGAGAAGCTACCCCTACTCTCCTGCGTCCGCCACCTCCCACCCCCACCCCAGAATCTCCAGACTTGGCCCGATCCTCCCCCCCCAAGCTTCTCCAAGTGCCCACCCCGATCTGGAAGTCACTGTGTTTGGGGGGGGAGTGAGCAGAGGGAAATGAAGTGGGGGCGTCCTTGCTCTGTACCTGCGGCTCCCTGGATCACGCGGGCAGGACAGAGGAAGAGCTATAGGCTGCTGGGGACCAGAGGCTCCGGGGTTCGCTCCGGGTCCGCTCCGCGATCTGGCGCTGTCCGCTCTGATCCCAGACTACACAGTGCTGTCAGGCAGCTGAGATGAAGGGCGGCCGGCCCCGCCCCCGGTCCCGCTTGTCTCCGCCCCAGGGGGTGGGCCCAACGAGGGGGCCAGGGTCCAGAGCGGGAGGTGCAGGGGCCCAAACTGGGCAATGGAGAAAGCTAGAGGCCCTTGTTAACTTGCTGGAACAGGAGCTGTCCCAAGCAACAGCGGCCTCCCCAGAAAGAACTCACAGTCTGATGTGACAGGGCCAGGGAGAGACATGACCCAGAATACCAAGGGATCTCCGAGCCCTGCCTTACCTAGGGAGGATAGGAGTCCCTGGAATGGACCTTGGGAGACCTGGGTTACAGTCCAGGTTCAGCCTAACTCCAAGTGTGACCTTGGGAGACCACTTGTCCCTCTATGAGACTCAATTTCCCACTCCCTAAAAATAAGGAAATTCAAACAGATGGGGTCTCTTCAAATTCTCTTGCTGGAAAACCTTCCCAAAGGGGCCTAATTTTATTCCTTCTCTCTGCTCCAGTTTTTCTTTGTCTTTCAGGGTCTCTTCTCCTTTCTCCTATATGGACACCCAGGGCTCTCTCCTCTCCTTTCCTCCCTTCCCCTCCCCTCCCCTCCCCTCCTCTTTTCTCCCTTCCCCTTTTCTCTCTCTGTCTCTCTCTCTCTCTCAAAAAAAAGTAAGAAATTTGGAAGAGGAGCAAAGAGAAAACCATGCTCCCATCAAGCAAAATGTCTAACACTGAAATTAAAGCAGATAAAGGGTGGACCTTAGAGATCACCTAATCCAACTCTCTCATTTTGCAGAGAAGGAAACTGAGGCCCAAAGAAAAGTAGCATGAGCTAGGTCACCCAGGTGACAGCATACAGTAGAAGAACCAGACCAGAAGGTTCTTTCCAGTGGGCCTCACATGGTGACGTAGGTCACCTCCTCACTCTGCCCTTGCCCTGGGCACCTGATGCCCCTGTCAGAACCTGCATCCCACCTGCAGTCCTGCTGTCTTAAGATATTTAGGATTCACTTAGAGACTTGTGGTGGGGAGTTATGGGGGTGGGTGGTACAGTGGGAAGAAGAGTCTGAAAGTAAATGTTCCACCACTGGCTAGATTGAATGAATGAATGAATGAATGAATGAATGAATGAATGAAAAAGGATTTAGTAAGCACTTACTATGTATCAAGCACTGTGCTCAGCACTGAGGATACAAACAGAAAAGTGGACAGTCTTTGATCTCAAAGAGTTCATATTCCAATTGAGGGAGACAACACAAAAAGGAGGGTTTGTTTGTAGGGCAAATGGAAAAATCTGGTGGTCTTTAGGGTGCAGCAGCAAGGTGGATTGTGACTTTGAATGGGTCATCTGGCTTCTTTGGATTTCCTCAGTTTCCATCATCTGTAAAGAAGGAATAATATCTGCCCTGCATCCTTCACAGAGCTGTGGTGAGGATCTAATGAGAGAATGGATGGGGCAGCTGTTTGAAGAGTGTAAAATGCCATAATCATCATCAGTCAGAGGATAGGTGCATTTTGTTGTTGTCCAGTTGTTTATAGTTGTGTTCAACTCTCTGTAACCCCATCTGGGGTTTTCTTGGCAAAAATACTGGAGTGATTTACTGTTTCCTTCTCCCATTCATTTTACAGATGAGGAAACTGAGGCAAACAGGGTTAAGTGACTTGTCCAGGCTCACACAAGTGTCTGAGGCCAGATTTGAACTCAGGAAGATGAGTCTTGCTGGTGCTCTATGCACTATGGCACCACCTAACTGCCCTGGGTGCATTTCGGGGACCATATCTACCTTTCAAACTAGGGGCACCCTGAAGTTGGGCATGTTCAGTTTGCTCCCCTCTCTTCTCTACTTTGATGACTGTAGCTCCCTCTTTTCCTGGGGTGCCAGCCTCAGTCCATCCATCTCAGAGGCCAGGAGATGGACTTTGATTGAATTAACCTTCTCCTGCTCTATTTCCATCCCCTGGGGCTTTTCTGTCTGCATCACCATTCACTCTAGCCTGAGGCTCACCATCTGCTCCCCATCAGCTGTGGGAGATTTAGGAGGCCAAGAGTCAGGAAGGACTTTTGGTTTCTCTTGCCAAATTCCTTCTTCCACAGGCTCACTGTGTGACCTTAGCAAAGAAAGGCATTTCTTGCCATCTTAGCTTCTGAAAATGAGATGCCTTAGTGAAAGTTAAGTGTAGCTCCTCCCCCATTTGACAGATGGGGAAACTGAGGCTCATAGAGGTTAAGTGATTTGCCAAGGTTACAAAACTAGTCATCAGCAGGGCCAGACTTTGGTCCCAGTTCTTCCAACTCCAGATATAATGTTCTTATCATTATATCACACTGCCTTTTACCCTCTCTGGGCCTCAGACAGAATCTGTCAATTCCCATCCTCTTTTTTAAAAAATCTATTTTATTTTTTCCAATTACATGTAAAACCAATTTTTAACATTAGTTTTTTACTTTTGAATTTTGAGTTCCACATTTTCTCCCTCCCTCCTTAACTCCCATGCTCTCAAGGTTTGATAGGTTACAGTATATAAAATGTTTAGAGATATAAGGAGGGGTGGAGCCTGGATAATTCTAATCTGAAAGGTGATTTTAATTTTTTTTTTCAATGAAGTCTCATTCTAAACAACTGTTTTTTTCCCCCTCAACCTCCCCTCTCAGCTAGAAAAAGCCCGTTGGAAACTGGGTACTTCCTCCCCTTCTATTTCCCAGAAAACAAAAACCGTCAATTTAGTCCTGAAATACGGATAAGATGACAAATATTTGAAGAAGCAGCTGGCACGTGAATTTACAATCAGGAGACCTGGGTTCCAGGTAAGACTGTAATACTTTCTGGTTGTATGACTACTAGTTGGTAAATCATTTCCCTTCTTTTTCCTTCGTCTGTCAAATGGAAATAATCATACTTATATGACCTACCTCATAGGGAGGTGGTGAGGAAAGTGCTTTGGAAACATTAAAAGACCATAGAAATGGGAGTTATTATTACACAGATGAGTGATTATTACAGTTATTTCTACTTAACTGGAGAGGGGGCCATTTAATTAATCTATCAGGTAAGCATCAAGTGGTCTTATTGCATACCTACTGTGTGCTAAGCACTGGGGATAAAAAGACAAAGAGGAAACAGGGGTTCTCCTCAAGGACCTTACATTCTAGGGACAAACCACATGCTCACTTAAGGAAATATGAAATACATAAAAGTAACTTTTAGGGAGTGGAGGTGACCCTTGGGCTGAACTAAGAGCCATAGGCAAGAAGTTCCAAAGAGGCTGATTTCAGCTCAAGATAAGAGGGACAATATTCTAACAATGAGAACTGTCTCCAAAGTGAAATGGGTTGCCTAGAAAGGAAGTGGGTTCCTCATCCCTGGAGGTCTGCAAGCGGTATTATAATGGAGAATCCCATTTAGTTCCAAGTTGGCCCAGATACCCTCTGAGGTCCCTTCCAGATCTGAGCTTCTAAAAGGTTTTAAAGGTCTGTGTGGGTGTTGGCTCTGGCTTAGATTCTATGCTTCCTCCTCCGTGCTCCTGTAACCAAGGTATCTAGAGAAGTTTGGCCCTCCTCCCTGCCCTCTTCCTTCTCCACCACACAGAATATGATCTCAAACATCAGGAAATCCAAAACTGATTTCTATTGGCTTAGGAGGGTGTTATTTGATTAGGACCTGTTGCCTTGGGGGAAAATGAAGGTTGAGATAGGGGAGAGATTTTCGATCTGATTTTGGTCTACCTCTGACTGATGATACCATATGTTTGATTTCCCTGAGTTGACCGGAAACTGCGACTTGGGAAAATCTCATCTGCTTTTTGGGCCCTGATCTATAAAATGAAAAGATGGGACACGATGGTCTTTAAGGCATTGAACTTAAGGGGGTGTTGGGGTGGAGAAGAGGCACAGACAGGACAGGGAAGTCCATGATGAAACCCTTCCTACAGACGGAATAATTTCTGGCCCAGTGTTGCCATAGTAGAGAGCAGTAATGGGTGGGCGAGGCAGAGCAGAGGCTGAGCTGAGGCCCAAGGCCCCGTGTGGAGGCAGCTGTTGTTGGCCTCTGCTGTGAGGTTGTTGTTGAACCCTTGGGATGAGGGCCAAATCAAACCTCCCACAACACACACCACACAGTGCCCCGGCCACCACCTGCAGAGCCTCCCAGTTCCAAATGCCAAAGGTCAGGTACCACAGTTGGGCTCCAGTTGACTGGCTGGGACCTGGTAAAAACACCCTGTACCCTTCTCCAGCCTGAAGGGAGGATTTCTGGGATAATAATGAGGGTGTGGCCACTGTGGTTTTGACTGTATTGGGGTTGGGGGGGGGTAAGGGGAGCCTCTATCCGTTGCTCTTCCCCCCGAGAATTGTTTAAAAGCCTCAAGTCACTACCCTGGACTTGACATTAGGAAAACCTGGGTGAAATCTTGCCTTAGACACTTTCTAGCTGTGAGACCAAGAGCAAGTCACTTAACTTTCTGAGCCTCAGTTTTCTCAACAGCAGAATGGGGTAGAGGGTTAGACTCAGTGGCCTCTAAAGTGTTTTCCAGCTCCAAATCTGTGGTCCTATTTGGTACCTTGTGACCTTTGACCTGCATGATCCTCTCTGGGCCTCAATTTCTCATTCATAAAATGAAGGGGCTGTATACGATAGCCTCGATCGGCCGCCCTTCCAGTCCTACATTTATGGTCCTATGGTGTGTGAACTACCTAGGGAACAAGCGTCAAGAAAGAGCCAGGGATGGAAACAAGAAGGATTTGGGTCTTTATCGTTGTTGGTACCCATCGCACTGGATGGAGCTCTCTAGGTCTTAGTAAATAGTGTTCCTGAATTGTCGCAGCCAACTTAGGGATGTATCTCTCAGCAATCAGTTAGGCTAGCCCTCAGATGACAGATGTACATCATCTCTGATGGCATGGCCAAGATGGAAAATCTTTCTGCCTGGGGAGGACCCACTAAAACTTGTCTTAAAAAATGTTGGTTTCCACTTATTTTGGAGAAAAAACATCCCAAAGAGG